ACGGCGCTTGGCGGGGGATGCTTCGCCAAGGGCCAGCACTCACATAGGGCTGAGCTCCCTGCGGTCCCGATCCCAGAGCTACAACATCCACTGAGTCAAACCCAGCCCCTCCGCCCGGGAAGGGCCGGTCTGTCCTGCACGTTCCAGTTGGGCACTTCACAGGACCAGCGTCGGCCCCTGTTGCCACCCGCAGCAGATAAGGAGCCTCCTTGTCAGCACTTTGAGTTTAGGGCTAAGGCTGCGCTTTCCAAACCTGAGACTAGAAGGGCAAAGGTCATATTTACTGTACTAGCAGGAAATAAAAATCAACAGCTAAACACTCCCTTTTGTGGCAGAAGGATTTCTGACATATAACTGAGCAGGAATTCACACAAACAAAGGAAACAGAGTTCTCCAAAGGAAAAGGATCGGTTTCTCCATGGAGAAGCATTGTCTAGCACACAAGTAACAAGCATGGCTTGACATTTTAGCAAGGGAAAAGACTGTTCCTAAATGCAATAAAGTTGATAATCAATGTCCAAATGCCAAGAGCTAAATGCTGAGCCATATTATAAGTTTTAAATGCACATGAAACTAAATTACCTTCTGGTTAAAACCAATTTACATGGTACCAGAAATAACCCTTTACAGCTGAAGATCTACATTTGGTAAGGCTAAAACTAGGTCAGATGCTGAGCAGTGTAAAAAGAGAGAAAAAGTGAGAAGTGCCTACCTTTGTACCAACTGTTATATCTTGGACAATGCTGTAGAAAAAAGAAAGAAAAGGATTAAAAAAGTTAGATAGGTTTGCCACAAAAATCCAGCATAGTTTACAGTAGTAAGAAAAAAGCAAGTCAAAGTGCACAGTTGTCTTTGCAGGTGAGCCAAGGACAGTTTATACAAAGAAAAATTATTAGATGATGATGGTGGAGACCCAAGACCCAGCAGTGCCAGAAAACTGCAGCTCTCCCACTCCCTAGGCAGTGCCTGCTCCTCCTGCAAGGGCCTGTGGGGGTAGGAACGAACACCCCTGAGCCCAGCGATGCAACCCCGACTGACCACACCGAGAGGAAGAGAGTCACGAGTCAGCTCTGCCACCAACATCCCCTTCTGCAGTTCCTGTCCCCTGACACACGTGGAGCCTCTGCAGGCCCAGGGCCAGCTCCAGCAGGGCCGAAGACACCCACGCCAGAGCCCGGCTGTGTCCCCTCGGAGCAGGAGCCGGGCTCAGAGCAGCCCTCAGGCCACGCCGGTACCGCTGGAGCCACAGCAGGGCCCGACTGGCAAAGCACCTGGAGGTACAGGCAGTGCCAGCCTGGGGTACGCCCTACACAGGATTCCTCTACCAAGTCTAGCAAAAACCACTTGTTAAACTCTACCTAAGACACTTAAACCTCCTAAGATGAGATTTTTCTGATTAACTAAGATGAAAATTAGCACCAGCTATACCTCAAGCAACCCAGCTCCTGTCAGCAAGAACTCTCTACATCACGACACACGCTTCCTAAGAGCAACATCTTCCACCCGTGCAGTCGGAATGCTTGCCTACAGTCTCCCAGAGCCTTACAGCACCTCCACGTTACTGTTCTGTGGAAGTGCTCAGGACAGCCTAAGGATTTCAGTTATACCCTTGCACCGGAGACTGCATCTTTTTTTAATGAACTCCAACCCTCTGTAAAGCAGGAACACAAAACCGAGAGCAGAAATGACCCCTTTGGACTGCCATGTCCCCAGCCCTGCCCGCTTCAACTCCTCTCACAGAGCTGCCTGTAACTGCAGAGCACAGGACCCAGCAGCGGCCGGCTGACCGACCTGCAGCAGCTCCACAGAGCAGGAGGACACATGGCAGGCAGGGGAGTCGTTCTCAAACCAGCAATATGAAACCTGGATTGCTCAAGAACAACTTGACACGGTGAGTTAATGTGACAGAACTTGCCTTTACTAGTTCTTACTTCCCTCCCCTCTTGCAGCAGTTCATAACTTTTCAGGGAATTAAATCCTGCTCGATCTCATCAGGCCGTTCCAGTGTCCCCAGCTCCACGAAGGAGCCCCAGCACGAGCCAGCTCAGCTCCTCACACTTCCTCTTCCCCCCAACCTGCCGTGTCATCATAACCCAGCGCTCTGCAGCTGGAGCCACAGCCTGATCCAACGGCTGCTGCGGGAAGCCACGCGATAGTTCCACATTTTCCAGGGAAGTGCTCAGAGGAGGCCGTGTCTGACACTGCTCCACGGGCCCAGAGCTGGGCACCCCCAGGGCAGATGGGCTGGCTGCACCCGAGGGTCAGCAGTAATGAACTAATGAAACCCATCTGCAGGGAGCAGTTCAAGGAACCAGCATCACTAAACACGGCGTACATTCCTCAGCTAACACACAAACATTAACCCAGGCATTTCCACAACCTTAAAACAGCTACTGCCAACGAAGCACAGTAAGAACACAGAACGTCCCAGGTTTCCCAAACTCTCGAACTTACCCCAGAGCAGCTTCTCCCACTTCCTGTTCCTCCTGTGGGCCTCTCGCACAGGAAATGTTTTACATAAAGTGCCTTAGCAGGGAATGGCATTTAGAACCATCCAACAGGAAGAGCTGTTTTATTTGCCAAGAACTATCGATTCCTGGGATATTGTTGCGGCCCACTTGATAACAAATACCACAGGAAACGAGCTCCACAGTATTTCAGAATTTTTATTCAAATGTGCAACGTACTTCCAGTTCACACACCCCCTCAACAAATTATCCCAGGCTTCCTTCTCCTCCCATGCACATCAGACTTCAGGATGGGATTAAAACTTTTCCCAGTTCCGAAAGAACAGGCAAAAAAGCCCTTCATAAAAATTGTATTTTTTTCCATGGAATAATGGGATAATTCCTACGCAGTAAGGGGGAAAATTAGGCAGCACCAGTAAAACCTCCAGGTCATTTTCCAAAGCACCATTTCACGACTTCTTGCATGTTTTAACAAAGCGACTTATTCAAAGGGGATCACTCGGGCACAGCTCGAGATCATTTTCGGGAGAAGGAGACGGGAGCAGCCTGGAGCCAGGGGGCTGCTCGCTGCCAGCTCTGCAAAAACCCAAAACCATTCTCTGAAGCAGCTTTTGAAGTTTCAGCAGGAGACAGGGGACACTTTCACGGGGCAAACACATCCCGCACCAGGATCTCCAAAAGACAAGGGGTAACTGAGACTCGCGTGTTTTGCTAAAACTTCTACATTCAAATAGCAACTACTTTAACATGCACAGAACATCAGCCTTCCCAGGAACCACATCAATATCAAACCAATTTTTGCCACTAGAATGTGTGATCTCATGTGCTGAGAACTTGTTAGGGTTTTTTTTGTTGTTGTTGTTTTGGGTTTTTTTAATATCATTCAACATGGTGAGCAACTGGTTAAAAGCAGTAGAGTGAAGGACTGTAAAAATTGTAGGATACACGATTTTTATGTGCTTGAAGATGAAAACAACACTGAGACGCCACTTTTTCAGTGTGTAAAAAAACCCCAGACATGTGACTACGCCTAATTCTCCCCAGACCAGTGTTCCGAGGCAGAAAGCGAGAAGGCACTAATTTGGGCTTCCCGTACTTTTTGGCTGTGGGAAAGCAAACTGCTCTCTTGGAGGCCTACAGAAATATTTTAACTACTGAGCGCTAGACGAAAACAAAAAATCAGATCACAAAAAACCCCTACGCCATACAGGATGAGAGAAACACAGAGATCTCGTTTCCGAGAGATCCCCTGATAAAACACCCGCTTTAGAGCCAACTCTGCCGCAGCGAGGCCCCGCCGGGCGCTGGTTGAAGAGGAATCGACGCGACAAAAGTTGCGCTCTGTAAACTCCCCGCGGAGGGGGCTGCGCAGGGCAGTCTCCTCCCGCAGTTCCGCGGGCCGGCCGGAGCGGGGCCGTACCTGCGGCGCTCAGGTGAGGCGGCGGCGGAGCCCTGCCCGCCCGCCCCTGCGAAACTTGGCCACCGAAACCCGGCCGCAAAAGGAGCCCGGCGAGAGCCCCCCCGCCCCCGCCCGCGGAAGCGCCAGACAATGGGAGGGAGCGCGGTCCGTGAATCACCGCCCGCCAGGTGCGCCCGCCCCGCCCGCGCCGCCCCCGCGGGCCGCGCCCGGGCCGCCCCGCCCCGCGGCGCTCCCGGCCCGCCGCCCCCGCCCGGCCCCGGCGGGACCCCGACCACCCCCGCCCCGGGCGGGACCCTCGGAGCCTCCCGGGCGGGATCCCCGGAGCGCCCCCCGGGTGGGACCCCCGGAGCGGCGGGAGCCGCGCGGGGCCGGCCCGCACGAGGCGCCGCGCCGGGGCCGCCCCCGCTCCCTCCGCCGCCCGCCTGGCGGGCGAGAAGGGTCCGGGGGGCGCAGCCCGCACGAGACCCCCTCGGCCGCGCCCGCGGGCCCCCCACAGGTACCGCCCCAGCCCCCGGCGAGGGTCCCCGACTCGGCCGCCTCCGCAGCCCGAGAGAGGCCCGGCGGCGCCGCTCGCGGCCCCGGCGCGGCGCCGGGCGGGACTCACCCGTCCATTGCACGCGGAGAGGACCCGTCGGGAGCGGAGGGGAGGCGCCGCAATAGCGGGACGAGCGCGACCGCTCCGTGTTATAGACTCACAAAATGGCGGCGCCGCCTGGCCCGCCTCGCCCGCGCCCACGCTCCATTGGCCGGCGGAGCTGTCACCCTGACGGGGGGCGGGACCGCCCGCCTCCCGGCGTTGGCGCCCTGGCGCTCGGCGCTCGGTCGATTGGCTGCGGACGGGCGGGGGGCGGGGCCACGCTCCGGTGCGCGGCGCCATTCGGTAGGCGGAGGGAGGCGGCTGGGAGGAGCCATCTTCAGAGCGGGAAGGAGGCCGGGATGACAACCCCGGCCGCCATCTTGAGTGGGGGCAGGGCATGGGGATCACCGCCTTGGGCGCCATCTTGAATGCGGGCAAGGGCTCCCGCGTGCACGTTGTGCCGTGGGGGGCTGCGGGGGCTCTCGGCGCCGCCGCCATGTTGGGTGCGGGCAGGGAAGCCGCGCGCCGCCGCCATCCCGGATGAGGGTCGTTGGTCCGCGCCGCCCCTCGGGGGCCGCGCGGGGCTGGAGGGTTGATTTGAGGTACGGGATGGAGTCTGTGTAATCGCAGTTAATGTCTTAAGGATAAAGATTACCCTGTGAGTGAGAGGGAGAGAGAGAGATCCTGTGAGGTAAGACGTCTCACGTAGCTGCTGCTCAGGCACGAGGCGTATCTGTGCCTCCGGTACCATTGTGATCGTTTGCTGCCCGAAACAGCTCCATGGCCCGTCAGGGGCACCTCAGTGCGCACTCAGATCGGCTTGCCCCACCTCAGTGTTTGTCACTGCCTGTAGGCCTCACTTCTGTAGAGATTCAGGTGTATTCCACGGGTTTGGGGCTTGTCAAACCTCTGGAAGATTTCCTTTGGAGGTGCTGGGCCACCTATGGTGAATTTAAGCCGGCTGTGGTGGCTCTGTAAGATCCTTTCTGTGGCTCCCTCAGGGTAACCAGGGCAGGTGTGGGGGTCTGCCCCCATCCCAAGCCCCTGGCCCCCGCTGGATCCTTCCCAGCATCGCTCCAGGGAGCAGATCCTGCCGTAGATGAAACACTGTTTAAATACAGACCGATATGAGTGCTCAGAAAGTTGTTTAAAAAATAGAGTGCAAAGGCAATTTGGGCGTTTCTGCAGCGTGTCAGGTAACTCGGGCAGGTACAGACATGCATTTTGTATTCTCTCGTCTCTCTCAAGTATACACTTGACGCGTGAGTAGGGAAAAGAAAAAGTTAGAACTGAAATGGTCTGTTGCTGTGCAAAGTCCTCTGGTCAGAGCTCTTGTTTCTTAGTGGGGCAATTCTCAGAGGTTTGGGAGGCTGGGATCAGACATTACCTGCCTCCCTCACTCTTGTCCCCATCTGTGAAATGCAGGAGCTTGCCTTGGATCTTATCAGGAGCTGGGAACTCTGATTCCCAAACCTCTGACTTACTGGACTCCCAGTTAAAGTCCAGGAAAAGTGTGTTCTGATCTGTTGCTAAAGGCAAATAGAACTGTCTGAGACCAGGTTGTTTACTGGGGTCCTGCATATGAAAGGCTCAGCTTCTGCCTCAGATAAGAGATTTACAACTTCGATGAGACAAAGAATAGGAAAATGATGGGGATTATGGATCCACTGTAGCTGGGAGCCAGGGAGATAAAGCGATGTGATCAAAGAGAGCAGGAATTTAACAGCTAACACAAGCTTTCTGCACTCCCTTGATCTGTGCCTGGTTTAAGGTGTGTTTCTCATGGAGGTGTTTCACTTCATCTTCCCTTTAGAATGATTTAATTTCTATACCGTAAGGAATCCCTCTATGGTAGAGGATGCTGTCGAGACAAAAATCCCTCCTTTTTTTTTTTTTTTTTTTTTAAATATGGGTTATTTCAATACCCTAAAGAATTGCTCAGCCAGGATCTGATTTTCTAGTGGCTATTGACATGAGTTTATGGCATGTGCAGGTATCCCAGGTGCTTTCTAGGTATCTGTGGCAGAACAGTGAGAGGTGGGTGCCAGCACAAGATTCCTGATTTCCAAAGGCCTGTCCTCTGCAGGTGTGGTCTGACTTAAAAGTCTCGTTAAGGTTTGTGCAACTCGCTCTGATTTTCCACAGTTCTGGCAGAAATTATGTTTGTGCAACATTTTATCAGTTGTTTTTCCTGCAATATGAGCAGGAACTTTTTAGGCAGCATCTGCTCAGGGAGCAAAGTGACCAGAGATGCTGTTGGAGCTTTCTCTGGGCCAAACAGGAAAATGCATTTAACAACAAGATCACACTTGATATGAAAAACCAGCGGGGAGCAGGACCTGCCCCTGTGCGTCCTTGTGTTTGTTTTGAAAAACAAACCCAGATGAAAATGGCCATGGGGGAAAAAAAAATGAGGAGGGCAAAGGGAAAAAAAAGAACCAGCTTGTTTTGTAGGATCCTGCAGCAGCGTCCCACCCTCCAGCTCCGGTTCCTCCGGCCGGGAAAGGCCTCTGGGGCACACCCAGCTTTTTTTCTCTCTTTGAGCTCTTCCTGCCTGTGTTATCTCTTGGCGTTTAATTCACCACTGGAGAAGAAAAACCTTCTGAAACAAACCGGACCCTTTCCTGCCTTTTGCCTTTGTATTGTTAAACAACCCTGCAGCCTGTGCGGGGTCACGGACGCTTCTCTGCGTAACTGTGTCCTTTGCAAACTGGCAGAACTCTTCCTCTTCTCCTTCCTCTTCCACACGACGTTTCTGTCAGCACTTTGAAAACCAGAAACCCTCCTAAAACACGGCCCCCGTTCAGGAGCCCGAAGCCCTGGGCAGAGTGGTGCATCCTAGTTGCTGTTGCCAGTGACAGTTGCTTTCCTGGAAGTTCCTCTCCTGCCCCGTTATTCCCAGAACTCTGCAAGGCCATAAACCAGGGAACTCTTTCCCAGATAACTGCTGCCAGCTTATCCCAAAGAAACCTGGGAGTAGGGGGTGTCTCCAATCCCTCTGCTTCTCTTTGTCGCTTTTATTTATTTCCAGCCCTTTTCAGTGAACACAGCAGTTTTGTTTCAAGGCATACTGGCAGCTTTAGCAACATCTTAGGGTGCCAGAACATTCTTCTGCGCATCGTTTAGGATGCCACATCACAGCTCTGGGAGGGGTTAGTGCAGAACGGGCGGATCCGAGTGGAATCCCCGCGGGGTTTGTCAGTCCAGCAGATGTGTCAGGCTCTGACCCTCGGGCTCCCCTGCTCATGCCTGAGGGAAGGAGCGAGGAGAGGGACCCAAAGCCCCTCTGCAGCTGGGTGGTTGGAGGAGGAGGAGGAATGGGCACAGGGAGGACCGCAGGAGAGCTGGCTGATTCCTAACTCCTGCATGGGTTCCGGTAGCGGAGTGTCTGTGACAGCTCTGCCACTGCAGCGACACGAGGCCTTCTGTGCAGATCCAGAGCTGAGCAGCTCTGCAAGCCAGGAGAGCTGCACCTGGGGCACAGTTGGTGTTGCCATTGCACACTCTGAGTTCTCTTTTTACAGGGCTGGCAAACTGCAGCTGCAGGTATTTCATGCTGCAAGCACCAACATAAAATTTCAAGTAGAATCACAAGAGCTCACATTTTACACCTTTCCTTCTTTCTAATCCATGGCATGAGACACTTCTGTGTATTTCTGCCGTTCCTCGTCCATGTTATTTCAGCACTTCCCTGTCCCCGCGGCTCCTCCCGATGCTCGGGGCTGACTCATTTCCTGTGCAGGACCAACCAGCCATTTCCTGGCTGTTCAACACAGGACTTTTTTTCCCCTTCCAGTCGGGGTTGGAGTGGTGAGGATTAAGCTATAGTTTGAGTAATCTGTGGTTTGATTGATCTATGGTCTGATTCACTTGTCTCTTCACTGCAGCCTTCCCCAGAAATCACCTGGCAGCACCTGGGACACGTGGCTGCCCCTGCTCACCTGGGCCCCCAGTGCAGTGATTTGGGCTGTGGCATTAAAGTAATCACAGCAGCCCAGCTCTAACAGTGCCATCCTTCCAGTCACTGCAAACCAGATCTTCTCTTAATTCGATCCATTTCAGCTCATAATAAACAGGATGTTAAAAAAGCACCACAGGGCAAAGCCACTGGTATCACAGCACAGATCTAAGCCAGAAATTCTAAGTTACTGCCTCAGCGCTACCGAAATTGCACACTGACATTTGAGAAATCCAGGTAAAACCTGTGTTTGTGTTAGACACAGGTTACCAGAAGGCTGGGTTGGTTCCTGTATTGATTCTGTGCCCATCATTCCAACTCTTCCCTCCAGCATTTCCCTAGCCACTCTTTATTCCCACCCCAGGTTGTGACTAACTCAAGGACAGCTTGCAACATTGACACCGTGGTGCTCAGACATTGCCTGGCCACTGCCATGCCAGCCTGAGGTGTCACAGTTCTTTTGAGCAGCTTTTTACTGTTGGATTTTTAATTATTCTTTTAATCCTATTCGAACACTTGGATTCATCAGCCTGTCATAGACCTGGAATGTTTGGGAAGAAACCCTGCACAGTAGGGATGCTGCTGCTGGAGTCTGAATGGAGCACATGTGGAGGGCTGAACCCTGAATAATTCATACCTGTAATGATTTATTCATGCCCAAAGCTGGATACCTCCCTGTGACTTTCCATTATCTCAAAGAGAATGCAGGTTCCGATTCCACTGCCCCAGACTGGTGCCAGCTCCTGCACAGGGGGGGCTGAGATCTCTGCTCAACACAAATGGGCAACTCCTGCCCTTTCAGTGCCCCAGCTGTGGCCCCCGACACCCAAACTGAAATGTAGGGACAGGTCCTTGCACATTCTTCAGAAAGGATGGTGGGCGAGCAAGCAGGTAAAGCTCTTTTCCACAGATCCATGGGAGACCCTGCAGTCACAGTGCAACGTGTTCTGAGCGTGGAAAGCAGACAGGCCCTGACTCTGTGATGTGACACCACAGAGCTGAGCTCACTCTCCACGAGAAACTGCAAGTTTTGTTTCCCACTGTAAAGTTACAGACTCTGACACAGTTGATGCCACATTGCAGGATTGTTTCCTACCCTCCCAGAAACCTTGCAGGAAAGTCTGGACAAAGAGCAGCAGCTCAGGCTCATCTTTCCTGCCTGCTGTGGGCTCTCAGAAAATGCTGTCAGGAGAGACTTGCAGGCCCACGCTCTGAGTTCCTGACCTGGGTGAGGATTCTGCAAGACATTCAAATTCCATCTGTCTAGAAAGACTGAAAGATGATCCCGTGTTTCAGAGGCTCTCCAGACCTGCAGACGGCACTACCCCTCACTGCCTGGTGTGAAATTTCCTAATTGTTTAACCTGTAATCCTGACTTCTTTTGTCCTTGGAATAGGCTCTACATCAGCATAATCAAAAATGTCAAACAAGCTTGAGAACCTCTCCTAGTTGCTAAAAATGAATGTGAATTTCCTCCCTGCAGACTCACTTCGTCTCTCCCTTGCTCTGGCCTCAGCTTTCCCGAGTGCCTGGTTCCAGCCCCTCAGCATAGTTTGCATTCCACTGCCAAGAATGAACATTTATTTATACAAACAACCCTCCTTCCAAGCACATCTCCTGCTATCCCGGGGCAGGGAAGTAAACACCATTTCTGGTCTGTCTGTAGCTCCAGCTCTGCATTTCCTTTTTGCTTTAGTCAGGGCCTTGTTTGCAGGGAAAGCTGAGTGCTGTTCCATCACTTTGCCATGCCTCAGGTCTGCTCAGCAGTGGCCTGGGAACCTCCTTTGCTTCCAGTGATTTGATTTTGTGACCCTCTAAGGACAGTGCCAGTTTCCTGGCCAGCCCCTGGGGTGGCTCGGTGGCTCAACAGCGGTTTCCAGAACTGGGACCTGGGGGGCTCTGCGGGACTCCAGGAGTGCTCAGCCCACCATACCTGCTGCTCTCCCAGCTCAGCATCACTTGGTGTGCCCCAGTAAGTCCCCGGGCTGCTGTGCTGTACTTGCTGTCCCACAGCACTGTGACACTGAGGGGGCCCAGAGGGGGCTGGACTGGCAGCTCCCGGGTGAGCAGCGCCGAGGGGGCGAGGGGAGCCAGGTGCAGCTCATGCATTATTGCTGCAGCACCTCCATCGCTCACCTGCCAGGCTCAGGGATTGTTCCTGAAACTTTAGCTCGGCCCCTCTGTCCGCAGGTGTCTCCTGTTGCGTCTGCCGTTTGAAATGGTTGTGGCACAGATGCCAGATGACTCTGGACAGGGGAATGTCACAGTCGGAGCAGGGGCCATTTAAATGAAAAAGGGCCCTGACAGAGAGACAGCACCTGCAGAGCACCTCGAAGTGCTCCCTTGGGTGTGGAGCCTGCCTGCTGCTCACTGCCTGCTGTGAGCACAGGGTTTTACCGCTAAAAATTGCAGCAACGTTTGAAGAGGTATCCACAGTCTAAAGGTGTGTGTGTGTCCCTCTGTCCCTGCCCAAAAGCTGCTCCCCTTCCCCAAACCCTGCATTTTGGTGCTACATTTGTGGCTCAGACGCCTCAGCAGTGCAGCTGAGTTCAACTGCTTGTTTCCAGACCGAGTCAAGGACAAGCATGTCCAAACACAGCTGGCTCAGAGGGGACCGGCACAGCCGCGCTCTGTGCCCGCCGTGAGCCCCATTGTGATCCTGGCCAAGAACGACATCATTTCCCCAGGGCCACGGCTCTATTAAACACAAAGCTCCAAATGATTTCCTCCTTGGATCAAAGATGTGCTTGTTCCAGTGGCACTTAAGTTTAAAAGGCAATATTGGGAATGAATGAATCCTCCCCAGTGGCAGCTGCTGAGGCTCAGTTGGTTTGTCAGTGCCATAATTATGCCACGGACATCTAGTGTTTGCTGCCCCATGTGTTCCTGAAGGATGCTGTGCAATGGAGCAGCACAGGGAAGCCTCGCTCCCAGGCTGAGGGGCTTTTGCTTTCGTGGTGTGAAGTCTTGCTCATGTTTCAGGTGGTGGAAGTGTTCAGAAATGTCACATTCTGATTCCAGACTCAAACCCAGAGTGTTCTGGATCAAACTGGATGGAAATTTATGAAGAGACACAGTGGCCTATGTCCAGAACCCTGGAATTGGTGGTTTGATTGTAGTCTGGGGTCTGGGTGAGGAACCTGCTCCCTAAATCCTTGTCTGGATGGTACAGCAGATGCTCTGTGTGACAGACAGGAGGTGGAGGAAGCCCTCCAGAGTATGAAATGAAGCATTAAAATAACACGAAGGCAGGAACAGGCAGCATGTGAAGTCAGGGAGAACTGAGAGCATTGGAGATGCCAAAGGAACAAAAGAAATCCAATATCCTTTAGCAGGTTTAATATTTAATTGGTGAGCTCTCTGATACCAGGGTAGTGAGTGCAGTGGACAATGACAGGAGCCTGTGGAAGGGGTGCCAAGTGTCCCCCGTGGGGCCCCAGCACCCCCAACACACAGGCACAGAGGCTCCTTGTGTGCAGAACCATCAGTTCTGTGCTCCCTGCTCTGTACCACAGCACTGAGTTCCTGGTTCTGGGTAAGACCAGCATCGACGTGCCCAAAGGAGACTCCCAGTGCCTGGTGCCAGGTCTGACTGTGCTGCTCCTGGCTCCCTCCTGTGCAGGTACTGCCTGTACCTGCAGCCCAGAGGAGCTACAGCCCAGCTTCATTTTCTTGATTTAAGGTCAGGGCTCAAAAAATACGTAACAGTACTTTATTTATTGAGAAAATACTTCATTTCATATTGCAAGGTGACCAGTTCCTTCTTGCAGCAGCTGGAAGTCAGCTCTCAGGATCCTTCCTTCGGAGAGGGAGTGTGTGTGTGGGGAGTTGCCCCTTGAGGCGTTTCAGCCAAGAACTCCAGATCCAAACCCACCTGTTAGCTCCGGTTTTCTGGAATCTGTCGAGTGGAGTTAAAGGTTTACTCTTGCTCAGGCTCTGGGCAGGGTGTTGTGGCTGCTGCAGGAGCGGGGTCAGCTCCCAGATCCCGTGTCAGAGCGTGTGTTTCTTGTCCAAACGAGCAGACCCGTGTGCCAGGGTTGGGCTTGCTGCCTCTCTCAGGAGATGGGTGCCATCCATCTGTGGGGTTTTCATCTGTGAGGCTCTCAGCTCTGCTCTCAAAGAGTAGGGGACAGCAGTGGGGAGTCACTGCCTCTCACTGGTACCTCTCAGGTCCTGCTGATCCTGGCTGCTGCCCCAGGCAGCCACTCAGGGCCACCAAAGCCAAGGGCTCTTAGCTCTCAGAGCAGAGAGCTTTACTCATTGCTTCCACCCCACCAAGGCACTGGCAGGCTGCTTTGAGATCACTTTGAGATCACTAACTAACACCTCTCTCTCTCCTCTCTCGTAGGCTGCCCTGTGCCCTGGGTGAGATCCTGTCCTTTGGCAGTGCTGTGCTCTGTGGGAGGCTGCCCAGGGTGTCCACGTGGTCTTGGAGCAGGTAAGGGAGGCAGTGGCACTTCAGAACAAGGACACAGTAGAAAATTGAGCTGGAGCCAAGGCTCCAAAGGTGGGAGTCTACAAATCATCCAGATATCTGATGGCATCACCAGAGAGTTCAAACCAATGTATTTGCCTGTAGCCAAAATCCTGGGGTGCTGCTCTGGGGGATATTTTGTGGGGGACAGGCAGTCGGGGTTCCCTTTGGCCTCCACATGCCAGAGACCCAGCAGGGACTGGAACAAGCCATCCCTCAGCCAGGCATGGTTTGGGCTGGGTTAGTTTGGTTCAGTTTAGCAGATGGTTGAAGAAACGCCTTGTGGCACACAGTGATTTTAGTTAAACTTTAAAAGGCTGCTCAGAAATATAAAAAACCGCAATAAACTCTGTGACAATTAAATCGAACAAGATTTGTCCCTCTCCTGGCCAGCCCCGGTGGGCTGTTGGCTTCGGCTGTCTGATACTCAGCACCGGCAGAGCTGCACCGGGCCGAGCCCAGCCCGGGAGGCTTTCCCTGCTCTGCCGCGCCGGTGCCGGCTCTGGCCGCGGGGCTGCGGTTCCCAGCGGGACCGGGGACAGGGGGGGCGGGACGGGGGACGGGGGGCGGGACCGGGACCGGCGGGGCCGGGCCGAGCACCGGGGCCGAGCGCCCCCTGCCGGTACCGGGACCGAGCGCCCCCTGCCGGTACCGGGCGGCGGCGGCGTGTCCGGGCGCGGGGAGCAGGAACAAAAGGGGTCCTCGTTTCTCGTCGTTCCCGGGTGATTTGCGAGCCCGGCGCAGCCAAACGCGGCAGAACCGGTGGGATCAAAGGAGCTCGTACTGCAGGAGACACCGGGATCACCCCGTACCTGGTGTTTAGTGGCAAACCCGGGGGCAGCGAGGGAAGCGGCAATGCTCCCGCACGGCCTCCCGGTCACCGACCATGGCACAAACAGTGGAGGGGGACACGCTCAGTCCCCACGGCCTGGCTGGGCCCATAACGGCTCCGTGCTCATCCCAGCGCCTGTCTGGGAACAAAACATCCTAGGGAGAGTCACAGCCTGCCTGTGGAATCATGAGGACAGTCTGGCCATCTGTCCCCATGGCCCTGGCACAGGTGTGAGGTGCCCCCAAGTACCACCAGGGTCCTGATGAGGTGTCAGCGACGCTGCAGCGTTTCCTGTCCAGGTCACATGTTTGCCTGTCCCTGATTTCAGCTTTCCCACTTCCTTCTGAGGGGTACAATGTGAACTCCTATTTATAGAAGTTCATGGTTTCCAATGACTTTTTTCCATCACTCAGGCTGGTTTGGTGGCTGATTCCTGCTTAGTGGCCCAGGCAGTGCTGTACCAGCTGCCCATGGCTTTTATTATTGTTTTTCAGAGGCCTTGGTGCAGTGGTCACAGTCACATCCCAGGCCAGTGGGTCCAGAACGCAGCCCCTCAGGACCAGAGACAGTCAGGAATCAGGGGAAAAGTGGTGTCCGAATCTTTGAACAAAAAAGCTCTTGTTTAAGGAATGTGGTGCTGGAGGCCAGTGTTTGCCAGCAGGGTCTGTCTCCCGCTCGGAGCCAGTGCCTGCAGTCAGACACACGGGGGGAGGGGGATTTTCTGGAAACATCTCTCAAAATGGAGGAATGGCGCCCTGTAGCAAGTACAGGATATATCCTGGGAATTGTATTTCTGCAGACAGGGCAGGAGGGGCTGGTGGAAGCAGGAAGAGCTGAAGAGGTGCTGAGAATGCTCTTGTACAGGGCAGAGGAGGAGGGAAACAAACATCTCAGAGAACAGGAAAACTGATGTGCTGGGAAATGATGGATCCACCCCCAGGCCCCTTCTAAGGAGGGTGGGACAAGCGCCATGATTTCTGGCAGCCACGAGCTGCTGCTGCTCCACTCAGCTCCTGTCCTGCAGCCAGATGTGTTCGAGTGCAGCTTCAGCCCTTCCTGCCCCCGGCAGTGCCCCCGCACTGGCCGCAGCTCTGGCGGTGCCCCACACCTGTGTTTGTCCCCCCACCTCCAGGGAGGGTTTCCCAAGGGAGCAGGGAAGGGGGCAGGAGTCAAGTTTAAGCACTGCTGTTCTGTATCCTGTTGTTTTCCTACCAGGATTGTTGCAGTTTCCTGCACTGTCTTATCTGGAGAAGGGAAGCCAGCGCTGGCTCAGTGTGTGTCCCGGGTTCTAATCTGCAAAGCAGGCATTAGAGCCCATGAGAGGAACCAGCCAGGGTTGTCACAGGGCAGGGGGACAGGGACAAAAGGGGCAAAGGGCTTTTAGTGCCTCAAAATGAGTGTCTGTTTAGTGCTCCTGTTTGCACAAGGCTGTGTGTGTCACACAGGTTGGGGCCTTCGGCACACCCAAGAGGGAGAGAGAGGAAGATCCTGATGGTGACATTCTCAGGTGATTCTGTGTTTGACAGACCTTACAGGAGGATAATATTCAGAAAATGCTGAGCATGCTTCCTTCCCCCCACCCCAAAGGCTCAAAGTCCAAACAGGAAAGTCTTAAAGCAAAAAGAGCATTTCCATGTTTCAGTCAGCCTGGAGTTCAGTCTCCCCTGAAACTCTGGAGAGTCCTGTGAAATTACTTGGCCACATTTTCTGTAATACAGAGTTAAAATCAGCATTCACAGCACTGAGGCCTGGAAAGCTGCTCAGAGAAGCAGGGCCTGAGAAAGCCAAATATTGTAGATTTAAAAAAAAACAACCACCTTTTTTCTTCAAGTGAGCCTGAATTCATCTAACTATAGGTTTTAGCAGTGCACTGAATTCCCCATGGGTTAAAAAAAATTAAATCCTTTACTGTACAGCTCTGGAATGTCCTGTTTTCAGGACAGAAAGGTGTGGGTCCTGCACACAGTGTCCATTATCAGATGGGAGCCTCTCCTGGAAAGAAAATTAACCCACCACATCAACTCCCAACCACGCAGACACTGAACCAGGCACGAGGCTCCAAAACAGAACTCCAGGCACAGATCCCTCCCCATAGGCGTCCTGGAGTTGCTGGAAGCAGGTAAAAACTGTGGCAATGATCAAGATGGGTTTTTATTCTTTAAAGAGAAGATATGTATGCCAGTTCAGCCTTTGGGGTCATTTTTGTCAGTCAGCTGTGGCTGTGAATCCAGGCCTATTCCACTTGCCATTCCTTTGGGGCACTCTCAGGTGCTGGGAGTGTGGGGGCTGCAGTGGGCTGAAGGGTCTGTAACTGAGCACCAGAGCCTGTGCTGGGAACTAAATAGCAAGAGAAAAAAAGGTTTTTTTCCAAGAGATCAGGAAGAGGAAGACATGTGTCTGGAGATAAGGAAAGATAAAAGCATTCCATTTGCAGAGGCCTGTGATAGGGATCAAGATGTTCATCTGCCAAGTCAGTAATTTTTTGTGGCTTTATGACCATGTGGAGCTTCCGCTCCTGTTACCTTTTCCCACACTGACTGAAGGGACTGGATTATGGAATGGAAGTTCCTCTGAGTCTGTCTGAGCAGCTCAGCCCTTTCAGGGAATTGCACAGGCTGAACTCAAAGATAAAACTCTCTTCAGAAGGGAGAACAGTTCTCCCTCAAGTTGAGGTGCAGCTTTTGGGGGCTCAGCAGGCGCAGTCTGTGAGCTCCCTGGTCTGGGGAAGTGGGAACAGGTCAAACCCCTCTGGGGAGAAGCTTGGGCAGAGCTACTTCCTGTGAGGGGTCAGGACAGCCAAAACAGCTGTTGGAGGTGACTCCCTACCCTGTTTGTTGGCATCCATCAGGAGTGAGCTCACGGGGACAGTAGATCCCATACAAGGCCTCCATTAACATCAGGAGCTCAAAGTGCCATTTGCTGCTTCCAAACAGGCTTTTATTGTCTGATTTTTGGTTAAAGCAGCAGTAGATTTCTGTAAAAAATTCTCTGTAAATCCTGGCTTTGCACATTCCACACGCTGGCACGCACAACAGCCAAGCATTCAGGCTAAAATTATCCATGCTATCATTAGGAAGGAACACATGGATTGATGGAGCCTAAGTGCAGAAGAGCTGTGCTGCTGTGCTGCAGGCTCACCCCAAAGGGAGCAGTTCCTGTGCTTCCCAGTCGTTCGCTGTCGGGCACCTGCGAGAGGTGGGACTGGTTCCCTTTGCAGAGGAGAGCGGGTGGGCTGGGCTGGTGGTGGGCAGGCACTGGGGGCCCAGGCACCACGGGCACCAGGCACAGCCTCTGCCCTGGGCCGGCACTCCTGCGGCACTCCTGAAGTGGTCTTTGTTCTGGGCTGAGCTTGGAGAAGTTCAGTTGCATCTGCTGGTCAGGGTTTTATATATATATATATAAACACATATATATATACATACATACATGTATACAGACACAGGTGTGATAATTATTTCAGGTTCTGAGAGAGAAAGGCCATTCAAAGAGTCACTTACTGATCTCCACCTGAGAGAAGGCTCAGCAGCACAGAAAGCAGCAGCATGGTGAGTGTTCTGTTATGGCATAAATGATCCCACAGACAGAAAGAATGAACAAATTGGTTTTTAGAAGGAATCATGAGATGAAGTTGCCTATCTACAACTATTGCTCTCCTGGGGGAGGGACAGAAACAGCCCCAGGACTGCACTTTGCACATCCCCTCTCACTCACGTTCTTTCCAACGTTCCGTTACAGAACGAGAGCTCTGGTGAAGGAGAGAGCAGCGAGGCCAGTTTCCTTCACAAGGATCTCTCCAAACTTGTGCTCTGGGCACACACTCACGGGACCATATGCGACCAGATCCCAGCCCTGGAATTCGTGCAGGACGCAGGTCACCTGAGCAGGGACAATGCTGTGCTGTGGATGTGCAGAGTTGGACACGCCTACCACTGGCAGTATGGGAAGTTACAAGACAGAGACAGAGAAGGGACTGAGGCTGGAGGAAGAAAAAGGAAGCTCCAGTTTTCTGAGGCTTCAGCAAGGGAAGACAGCTTTGGGGAAAAGAGGCTCAGGCTGACCCCATCGTCTTTTGAGAGGGGTCAAGCAGATGTCAGGAGCACAGGGTCATGTGGCAGATCCACAAGAGTCACTCAGCAGGAGGCTGACACAGCCTACACAAGGCATAAGAAGCCATCACCCAGAGGGAGTCAAAATACCAGGGAACTGATGACATCTTGCTCTGCAGCAGAGCAGCACTTGACAGCTGCTGGACTCCAAACTGGTGGTCAGAACATGGAGCTCAAAAATGATGATGACGACTTACTGATCATCTCTGATGAAAAGCAGTGTGTAGCAGATGAAGACAACCAAGGAGACAGAATCAACCAGAATAATGTATCGGAGCCACCTACTCAGGTGGATTTGCAGATGCTCCACTGCCAGGAGTTGGCATTTCACCAGCCAACAGCCCCTCAAAGACCTGCCTTTGCCTGCATGGCAGGGCCATCTCTAAGCCATGCCTACATTCTGCAGTCCTCTGTCAGCAACCTGGAGGACCCGGGCAGGAACATCCTGAGGCTGGGTCATTTCACTGCTGCAGGGCCCACGGCTGAAACTTCCAGAGCAAGGAACCCCTCGGAGTCAGCAGCACCAAAGCTGTGTTTCAAACCTCTTCCTGTCTCCAGCACTGAAGTGAAGGCCCAGCTGGAGTCATGCCCCTTGGTGACATTCTTTGAGTTCCAAGCCACTGTTGATGCCCAGCGGCAGCTCCAGCTGAGCCCTCCAAAGCAGGACACGCTGGGAATGGACTCCAGCAGGAATGACACCGAGAACATGGCTGAGGAGAGCGAGCCATCAGGATCCAGGCAGGCACCTCATCCTTCAGCCTTCCAGAGTCCAGAGAGCCATCCACCCGCAGCCTCAGACAGAGGTAAGAGAGCCCAGAGTTCTGTGCCTGCAGGGGTGTGGGGGTGTTCTTTTAATCACTTTCCCAAAATAGCAAAGGAGGGTGAGTTCACATCACTGCCAAGATCTATTCTGCAGCATCTAAGCAAATCCCTCAGATTTGGGGCACTCTTGTTTCTACTCAAAAGGACTAAAAAGATCCCTGCAATTAGCTCTTCTGTAGGAAATGCCCTTCCCTGAGTTACCCAAAGGTGTTCTTGGCTGCAGTCCAGCCCCAGTGTCCCAGCTTTGAACACTTTGGTGTTCCATTTTACTTCATATTCCCACATGGAACATGGGCTGTACTTGAGAGAGTCCCAGTGGGAGACTGGAGCCAGAGATGGGAACTCAGGTCTCAAGAGAAGGATTCAAGGGGAAGTAACTTAGAGAAATTGTGGCTGAAGCCCTGGCTGCACCAAAGCCAGCGGCAAAAGATCCCAGCAGTGGCAGTGGCAGTGTCAACCCTGCATGGAAAATGCCAGGAGCTCCATGCATTGCTTTAGTCCTTTCAAGAATTAAGGTTTTCATATGCACTGTCCTACAGCGTGGGGGCCTGGGTACATGCTTGGGAAGGGCAGAGGGTGCTGAGACAGCCATTTGGGGCCTGCCTGTGATGTGCTTACGCCATCGGTGCTGGTCCAGAACAGGCTTAGGGTTACAGACACTCATGTTCCTTATGGAGCCACAGCCATATTGCCAGATTGCCACAGTTGGGTTTTGGGAGTATTATTTGACTGTTTTCATAACTGACATCAAATGTCATCTGAAGGGACTGGGAATTCACCTGGGAATGTGTGTGTAGTATCTGCTTCTGCCAAGGTAACTGGCTCACGGCTCAGAGGAGGCCTTGGCATTACTGATTCACGAGCCGTTGCTCTCTGCACCCAGAGCAGTCAGTACAAAACAGGCCAAAAACCCAAACCAGTGGGACAGGGATCAGAGGAATCCACCTGATCCATCCACAGTATTTCAGGATGACAGCTAAGCCTGTATGAAAGAACCTGGTACGAAAAGGGGAATCTAGAGATGTTGGCTCACGAGCCCTTTTCCATCTCCCCCTCCTCAGTCCTGGACAAGTCACAGGCAAGCAGATGGAGCTTTCCAGCAATCCAAAGAATTCATTTCTCACGCTACATTGAACTAGGTAGATGTGGTATTGCCATGACAACTTGAGAGAGAGCCCAACTGGAATCCTGGCAATTGTTTAAACAAAATAATAATACACTTCACTCACCTGTTTGTTTTCCCTCACCATCCTCCTCAACTTTGGGGTCATGCTCTGATTTCATGATGAAAGGGAAATCTCCCTGTGTGGCGTTGAGGAGGGCCAGCAGCCACCAGAGAGGGAGCAGGAAGGAGCCCAGCCTTCCCTGGAGAGGTGGGTGCTGTCAGGTGCTGCTGGCTTGTGGAGAACACAAAACTGATCCACAGCTCTAGGGGAGGGGGTTTGAGAGAGTCCTGTTCCCCGAATGGCTTTCAGAAGGGAAGTGGACACCGTCCTGCATCTCCTCATGTTTTACTGATCTTTTGGAATTCTTGCTGTCTACAAAGCTGTGTCTTGTCTTTCAGATGTGCTGCAGAAGCAGGAGAAAAAGAAAAACTGTCGCACCAGCGATATAAAGGTGTTCAAAGACTGGCTGATGGTGCACCACCCCTCTGAGACACGCGAGATCCACACTCTGCCCCCTGAAGACCTCGACCGCTACCTGGTCTCGTTCTTCAGCTCTGCCAAGAGACAGGATGGCACAGATTTCTCTGTCCATTCCTTTGGCTTCTTGCAGCGCAACATCGAGCGGTACCTCAAGGAGCACAACTACCAGTACAACGTGGTGAGAGGGCTGGAGTTCAGGGCCTCTCAGGAAGCTTGGAATCTAAAGCATCAGTGCCTGTTCCAAAAGAAGAGGGAGGCAGAGTGGAGCATTTTGGAGAACCTGACAGACGAAGATGTGGAAAACCTTCGTAAGAAGGGAATTTTAAACAGAATGGACCCTCAGGGCTTTCTGCACCTCATGTTCACCAATGTTGTTAGGGGGTTTGGGGCAAGCACCCACAGGAAGAGCCACCACCTCTACTGGGGACAACTGGTGCTGAGGAAGAGTGAGGGAGAGGTGGAGTACTTGGAGTGGAAGGATGATCTGAGCCCAGAGGGAAACAAACGGGAGCCAAGCCCACGGCTCTTTGCGAAGCCTGATGATCCAGAGAACTGTCCAGTCACCAGTTACAAGGAGTACGCCAGGAGGAGGCCACCAGACACACTGAATGACAGCGATGCACTTTACCTGGCTCCCAGGTCACTGTGCTCCATCTGGGACAAGGTGTGGTACTGCAGAAAGCCACTGACAAGAGCCAAAATGGAAAAGATCTTGAAAGTTATTACCCAGCAAATCAGAGTAGCCATAAGGAAGCCCAGGCAACAGAGGTATCCCTTCAGCTTTCCCCCTTAAACCACTCCAGGGCTCCTCTGAAACAGAATCCTATTGTGATATTTAGTGTAGGCTGAGAGCAAATATCCTTCTCCTGGTCTTCACCTTGGCATTGAAGGCATATACATGTCTGCAGCGCCTCAGCTTCAAGGTAAATTTCCTCTGTTGTTCTTTCTGTTATTGGAACTGATAATTCAGTGAGTTAATGAGAATCTTTGGTTTCACGTTTGCCAAGCAAGTTAATGTTCTACTGTACAGTCAGTGACATGAGAAACCACCAGTGCTGACGTAGAGGTCTGGAGGGTGGCACAGCCCAGCCAGGAGTGTCAACTGCACCTTCGTTTTGGGGGCTGGCAGCTCAGCCTGGGGCACAGGCCCACAGGGAAGGAGAGCAACACGAGGAGAGCAACGGCACTGCTGACGCCCATCTCGTGGGATCGCTGCCCACAAGGTTCAGGTCGTTTCCCTTAGTGAAAGATTCATAGACTGAAAAAGTTGTAGCTGTTTTAAGAAGTTATTTAAAGTGTCTGACAGTGTTGAAAGGTTTTATGGTAAGTGGTCTCCCTGGAGTGCGAAGTGCAGCTCCCCAAAGGCCCTGGGAGATGTGCTGAGCTCTGCTCAGGGCTGTTCAGTGCCTGTTACATTCCAATCAGGTTGTTGGTTGCACTGTTGACAGAACCAAATAAAAGAACCTTTAGCTCAGTCCTGTCTGTCTGTTCTGCCAGGTTGCAGTGGGTGCCCTGAACAGCAGGGGATGGAGTCCTGGAACACTGGCACGTTCCACGTTGTTCCCTGCCGTGTTCCTTGCTCCTGGCCTGGTGGTGCAAACCTCTCCCAGGGAGAGTTTGGGCCCTTTGAAACCCTACGAGCCACCTCCATGGTTTCTGAACCATGGGCCAAGCCCATTGCCAGAATTGGTCCTGTTTGAGGAATTTAACAACACCAGATAACTTAGGGATGTTTGAAGAGACACAGAAAAAGACAAACTCAGTTCACCAAGTGCTGGAGGGCATCTGCCTGTTCCCCTAATGCTGCTGAGCACGGATGGCCTCATGAAGGCACTGCAGTGGCACAGCCATCCCAAAGCCAGTGCCCGGCTGACCCAGCCTTGCACACAGCTCTGCACCCCATGGGGCCAGGCTTCTCTCAGCCCTGAGACCACCACTGGTCTGGCTTTTTCCTCCCATGTGCTGGTCAGTTTGGCCCACACCTGCCAGAAAAAACAGGGGCCCAATCAGCCCCCTCCAACCTGGGCACCACTCAGCTCCCTGGAGCTCCACCAGGGAACCCCCCCCAGTCAGTTCCCACAGAGTGGGGCTGGGGTCCCCGTGGGGTCTGTACAAGGACCCTCCTAGCAGGGGCAGCCAGGCACAGACACTGCAGTGTAGTTGGGGTGAGACAGGACCTTAAAGGCCCCCTGGTGCCACCTCCAGTGCCATCCCCACCCCAGGCAGGCGCCCCTTCCCCCTGCCCTGGGTGCTCCCAGGTCCAGCCACAGGACCTTGGTGCTCCCCGAGCCCAGCAGCCATTGGGACCCCCAGCCACAGCTCCCAGCAGGCTCCAGCCCCAGCCCCACATCCCAGCTGTGGGTCTCCTCCAAAACACCAGTGCAGAACCAGCAGAGCAGGTGGACAGAACAGGCCAGGAAGAATAGGAGAGAGCAACAACTGTTTAATAAATTAGCAACATAAACAGCATTTATATATATATTTATATTCCATTGCTGCGTCTCCATGGATCACAGGAGTTAAGCCAATGTTGATTCCCCAGTCTCATGGCAATGCTGATCCAAAGGCCTCAATACAGGTATCCCTGAGGAGATGCCTGGCCTTGTGGTACCTAAAAACCTAAAATCACTGAGAAATAAAACAGCTCTGTTGTAAGCCAGAGACACAGCTCCCAGGGGGCAAAGTGGGATGATTTTACCCAGCTGACTCTAGGTGGAAGTGATTAAAAAATACTGATCCAATTTTTCCCCTCTTAGGAAAATAAAAAAAAGTGTTCCCCCAGAGGGAGAGGGAAGAAGGAGCAGACCTATTGCATGGCAGGATTATCAGTGACAATCAAACAGACTGATTTGCAGGGTACGTGTCTCCGATTGTTGCAGTGGCCAGGGGTGGAACTGATTGGGTATTCCGGACACGAGTCAGTCGATCCCAAACAGGGTGAGCCCCTGGCCCAGGGGTCCCTCAGTCCTCGTCCCGGACATACTGCCCGGCCTCCCAGCGCTGGGCCATGGCACTCTTGTGACGAATCACTCGCGTGCTCTCCACCACCTGCAGAGACCAGAATGTGCAGGATCTTTGTAAAGAGGGGATTTTTATAATCAATCTGTTTCGTAGAGCTGCCCCTCCTGCCAGGCCCCCGAACCCGCTCTGCTCAACGCCCACCTGAGGGGAGCCCAGGGGAGGAGGGGGTGTCAGGGCAGGGTGAGCAGAGCCCCCGCGTTCGTGAAGGACTTTACCTCTGTGTTGACCTTGTCAACGGGTTCTATGCCTGCGTACTGTGGAAAGGGAAAACAGGATCAGATAATGGCAGCCTGGCAGGGGAATACCCAGAGGTGGCTGGATCTGGCCCCCAGGGTGGTCACAGGAGGGGAGGCACATGCAGTCATGCCATTCTCGGGGTGGGGGGGACGGTTCGGGCCAGGTTCCCCCCAGGAGGAAGCTGCTGCTCCTCTCCAGTCCCACCCAGTGCCATCAGCTCTGAACAGCCCCTCAGGGGTGCCACCACCACCAGGTCTCCCACCAAGGGCAGGGCAGGCACATTCACCTTTCCATCCTCCTTCACCCTCCTCCTCCGCTCTTCGAAGGGGCTGGAACGTGATGAGTCCGGGGTGGGGGTCTCCGTGCTGCCCTGGGAGGAACTGGCCACTCTCAGTGGGGTGAAGGAGGACATCAGCCCCAGGATCCCCATCTGGTGTGAGGCAGGAGTGGAGGCAGGAGACCCAGACACCGAGTAGCTGCCGCTGGCACCTGAAGCAGCTTTGCAAGAAAGCATTGGGGGGTGAGGGACTCCAGAACTGCTCTTGGGGGCTGGAGAGCTGTTGGAGAGCCAGGCCCCTGCCCCAGACTCCCGTCCACAGCAGATCCAGCAGGTTTGGTCACAGCTAGGGCCCCATGTCTGAGCCCCAGCTAGGGACTGCAGGAGCTAGGAGGGGAAGTGCATGAGCTGGGCCCTTCCAGCCCTGTTTGCTGCTGTAACGTGACACGAAGGCATCAAGACCTGAGCGGCTCTGGAATCAAAAGTCATGCTGCTCCTGTGGAGCCTATTCCTCCTCAGCAGCAGTTCTCCTGCTGACTCCAGTGTGTTGGTATCAAGTTATCCTGGGACAACTTGCTACCAGCACACAGGAGTCCTTACGGGCATCCCACGAGATTGTTGCTCTACCACTGCCCCTGCCCTCCCTTACCGGAGCTGTGCCGAGAGCGGGAGCCCTCCTGGGAAGCACTGTCTCTGTAGGTGCTCATCAGCCGCCGCCGCTGCTCCTGCAGCTCCTCTTCCCTCTGCAGGTCGCTCCGGATCTCCTCTTCAATCAGTGCAGACGTCTGGGGCTTCCAGGTGCGCAGCCGGTACTGCTCCTCCCGGCCGTCCTCCCTCCGCAGCGGGCTCTGCGTCCCCATGTCCTCCACGAAGGAGACCTTCGGCTTCCAGAAGGAGAGGGAGAAGTACTCTCTGGGCAGGACAGCAGTGCCGGTGGGGCTTGGGGTGGAGCCGGGAAGCTTTCCTCCCCAGGAATCCCTGCTCCCCCATTTGCTGGCGCTGGCGGAAGCGTGCTGGGACACCAGGGGCTTCTCCCGGCTCCTCTCGCTGGCGGCGAAGCGCGGCTGGGACAGCTGGAAGTGCGCGATGCTCGCTGTGTAGCTGGGAATGCTTCTGCTGCCCCTGGTGATTTCTGTGGGGCTGGGGCTCGAGGGCTGCTCCACCACAAACTCCTTAACCCATCTCCTCCGCTCCTCTGCCTGCCCTGGGGCCGTGGACTTCTGCGGGGGGGCTTCCTCCTGCTCAAACACCCTCCTGCGCTCGTCCAGCTCCTGTTGTGTCCCCCTGTCATATGCCCCCAGAAGCCTCCCTTGCCTCTTCAGATCTTCTTCCCGCTTGGTTTCCTGCTCGATTTCCCTCTGGACGTAAAGGGAAGCACGGCCTCTGTCCTTCCCTTTCCTGCCTGGGCCGGGAGAGGCATGAAGGGCAAGGACAGGCTTGGTCTGGATCTCCACCAGCTCACTGCTGGAGGTCAGCCGCTGGATACCCCGCTCTTTCCAGAGGTTCTCCTCCCTCTCCATCGCCATGCGGATCTCCCTCTCGATGGGCGTCTCATTGCTCACCTTCGTCTCCTTGCCCAGCCCGTTGCTGCCAGCGCTCAGATCCACAAGGCCACTGAAGGTCTCATTAGAGGCACTTCCATCACTGCCATAGCCTGTGTTGGCTTCGTTATACATCTCACCCAAGCCAGAGTCCAGGTCCTCTCTGGATGATGCTTTGGTCAGGCTGGACATTTTCACGATGGGATACGACCTTTCAGTGTGAGCTTTCCTGGGAGTATAAACTTCCTCCTTCTCAGGTGTCTTGTAGGACGCATTGTAAACCTGGTAAATGCTTTTGTCCCTCCTGCTCTGGCTTGATCCACCAACACTACCATAACCTCTCACAGCCTTTGTGGCCATCTCAGGGCTGTGCCACTCTTCCCTGGAGACTTTTGTCACTGACTCTGGCTTAGGGGATATGGCTTGCTGCCCTGGGCTGAAGAAAGAGCTGGGGCTGGCCTTCTCTAGCATCAGAAACTGCTGCCGAGCCGCAGAGAAGTTGATCTGCTCCGTGTCGATATTGTCAGGGTCAACAGGTGTCACAACCCTGCCTGGGGAAGGTTTGTCAAAGCTGATGGCAAAGCTGGTGGTGACGCTGCCTGCATGCCTGCCCTCACCCTGGCTGCCCGTGCCGGTGTTGATGGAGCTCAGCTCATCCGTGGAGCTCCACCTCTCAGCAATGGTGGAGCTCTTCCTCATCACCTGGCTCCGGATGACCTCCCTCCTCTCGTCCTCAAGCTCCCTGGCTTTCTCAGGTGAGATGTTGGGTGGAGGGACCCTGTACAGGTCCTGTTCCTCCTCATCATAGAGCTTCGAGGGTTTCCTCTCGCCTCTGTAAGCCCTGAGGTCGTACAGGCTTCCCGATCTCACCACCTCCAGCTTGGACTCCCTGTCCGGGGATGGGGTCCAGACATCTTTTCTACCCTCCAGGAAATATGAGGGTGACTGGGACCTCCTCTTCCAGCCATAGCCATTTTCCACCCTCTGGGTGCTGTGCTGAGCAGAGCCAAACACGTCGTCATCATTGTCTGCCCTCAGCTCTGCCAGCGAGCTGTTCTGGTGCCCATCGCTGTAGTCAGGCCTGTGGGAGGCCTGTGGGAACTGGAACACCAGATGCCTGGTGACTCTGTCCATGTCCTGGGAAGAGTCACCCCTCTGCCAACCTCTCTTCAGACCGAGAACGCTGCTCAGCTCTGAGGTCACCCACGAGCTTCTGGCTCAGCAGAGGCCACGGGGCCGGACCTGGCTGTCCCTGCAGGCAGGAGGGGAGAGCACCCGTTAAGAGCAGCAGAGGAGTGGAGGTCAGGGCACAGCCCCTCTTCCAGC